AACTTTACCTGTATTCATAGACTGCATGCTTATTGTAAATCATCAAATTGTGACAGATCTCGCATAACGCATAAATAACCTGGCTTTGCTCAATATGCGGCTCAATTTGGTGCACAATCAAGTCCACCCGCTGGGTTTCGTTTAATATGGCTATCGATTCTAACAGACTGTTCCGCTCCTTGCTGCTCAGCTCGCCTGGCGTGCGGCAGGACTGCTCCATGTCGTAGTCGAGCGTACGAGTCGAGGGCTGTCCCTCGTCCTCTTCTTCATCTTCTTCATCATCTTCGTCCTCGGAGTCTGTGTGCCGATGTGGCGTCGCATGCGTGCGCAGCGTAGATTTGGGCAGCTGCAATATGTTCGGCATCATTTGAGCAATGACACGGACATAGACAATTAGTAGGTTGCTCTGTTCTAATGTGCCTGCAGATCAGTCAACAAATTAAATATATTTCCATGAGCGAATATTTGTGTACACACCTAGGTGGCTACGGTCCAGCACTAAGAGCGAGTTGAGCAAATACGAGCTGAACAACGCATCATTTGTCTGCTGATTTGACGACTTTGCTTCTCCATGCATAGTTCCATAAAACACATTATTAGTGCTAACATTGTCTGTGGCTGTGGTTGTGGTTGTCGCTGTGGTCGTGGCTTCAGCAACAGACGCCGCCTCTCTAAGATCCAGTATTGCATGCAGCGTGTGCATGAGCAGCGCATAAGGAAAGTCTTTGCTCTCCGCCAAACAAGGCAGCACGAAGTTGCGCACTGGCTCTGTGTGCGTTGTGGCTAAAATATCGGAAATGAACTTGCGGCAAAAGAGCTGAGATAACTCGCTGCAGGGCTGACGCAGCGCCACGTTTAGGGGCCGCAACATCAGCTGCATCAGCGCATCGACAAACGGAGTGGGAGCGTGTAGTGTCTCGCCGTCCAGCGGCGGGCATTTGTCATCTAGCAACTGGCGTAAACGCTCGAAATAATTGCGTTTGATAAGGAAGCCAAAGACACACTCCAGATACTTGTAAAGCACCGTCTCATCCTCCACATAGCGCTCCACGGCTGCCACCGTAGTGAAGGTCTCCAGCATGCGTAGCGGAATAGCTTGCGCCTTGTGCGGAAGCGCCAACTGCACCAGGCACGCGTCTAAGACCTTGCACACCCGCAGCAACCAAACGGAATCGTGCGCTGAATGCTGGAGCAGACGTGTGGGATTTCGCAAAATCTGCTGACAAACTTCAACCTGTAAAGGCAATCTAATGAGTTTTGATGTAGCTATTTGCTAAGGGCGCTTACCAGTCTGTCACCGTCCTTGGCCACACGATTGCTGTAGAAAAAATTGAGGCGACGTAACAGAAAGCAGAGGCTCACATCCTCCGTAAAGCGATCCCGATGCGTCTGAAAATACGCATCGAACGCCTCCCGCTCGGCTCGCTTGCGTCGCTGGCGATGGATGAAAGAGCGTGCGTACGACTGCAGAACGACTGCACCGTGAGTCTTCTGTCGCAGCTCATTGCGCTTTTGTCGCTCGAGCGCCGCCTTCCGTATCGCCGTGTCTCGGTCACAGGTCTGCGAGGCGCCACCAAGACTTTGCACTGGTCGGCGTCGATACTCGCCGTCGAACCCAAACATGACACTGCAATTGTTCTATTGCGAATGTTGTTGCTGCTGCTTATTTTGTCCCAGCTGATCAATCGCACTTCCCCGCTCAGCACATCATTTCTGTTTCTTGATTGGCAGAGGCGCACACTATGAAAAATACCAAACTGCAACAGACGGCGGCGGCCACGATTATCCGCTGATTAAACTCCAACCAAAACACACTTTTCACTTGACTACGTTAAATTTTCTGGATGCGTAAAAAAACTTGCTAAAACGAATGATTTGTATATTTTTCCTGTGGAGCGCAAAAGCGCTAATTAATGACAAAAATTGCCAGCTGTTCGTCGCTGTCCAGCACTGTGCGACTTTACAGTGTTATTAACCATCGAGGGAGCAGTTGAATATCATTGCGAACGTTAGAAAAATTCCTCTGAATTTCATGTAACTAATACTCGTTTAAAATGTTTATTCTATTTTTGTTTCTTGTTATATTAGTGTTATGAAAGAAATATCAAGCAACCTTTCTATTGAGTTGATCATTCCGCACATCTATTAAAAAAAAGTATGAATTTAATATACCGTTCTTAAAAAATATAAATTAAATTGTTTTTATATTTTTGTCGTAAGTTTTTATCTTCCATAATATTAATATTCCATCATTAAAATATTGAATATGTGCCAAAAAAAAAGAATATATATATTCCACAGATTATTATTATTTTTCCTCCATCTTTTATTCAATTTATGTCCGCATAAATAAAAATGACTAGCTGCCGTAACAGTAGATCAGCTGATGAAACGTAAATACAACAGCTGTTAAATAGCAACTGATAAAACATCGGAAAAGTAAATATGTATGTATATCAAATTAATTTTTCCTCACATAGCGACCACTGTATACACTCACCGGACTCCAGAGTTGACGTAAACAGCGAAAAATGTGAATATAGTCTGGTATTTATATTCAACTATTCCTCTAGTAAAACTTTCGTAAAATTGCTCTTTAGACGCTTTTAATTTTGAAAACAAAACAAAACAAAAGTGTGCAATTTATGGAATCTTATAAATCCGCCAATTATATTTTTGAATACATATACATATATGTACGTATCTATTCATCTATAAATGTGTTACTAATAAAGACTTAACTGAACTTTAGAGAGCCTGATATGGAAATGGAACAAGTTTTAAATAAATTTATTACAACTGATGTGGGCGAATCGGAAGAGAGAGCTTTTAAGCCTAAGCTGCCTAATTAGTAGCTTCTGTTTCTGTATTCTTATCAATAACCATCAAATACAAATTACCTATAGCAAGACAATCAAGTATCAATTTCAAAGGGCAGAGTTTGGCTGAGCTTGTACAGAAGCTGTTCCATTGCTTCCGTGTGGGTGACGCATTTGATGACGGTTGTCGATGAGCGCGAGCAGAGCTTGAGGCACACTCATGGTTTGATCATCGACGAGCACAATGTCGAAGGCATTCATGTACTTCTCCATGTTAGCCTCCACGTGGTGGAAGAGGAAGCCAATTCGTAGAATGTGCGAGGACGCTGGCACACCAGCCGCCATGTCCGCGTCGCCCAGTGAATCCCCCATGACAATAATATGATCACGCGTATGGACCAGCTCGTAATATTCACCGCCCTCGAGCACAGTTTCGTTCTTGTTAAAAATGTGAATCATCGGCTCCTGAAAGCCGTCCAGCAGGCCGTCCCGAAAGCGCAAAAAGTTCGAAACGACCTTTACATTCGGATGCATGATGTTCGCCTGCTGCATCAGCGACACCACCGAGTTGCCCAGTCCGGCGGAAAAGACGAGGACCGGAATTCGCAGACGCTGCAGTGCTTGGAAAAGCTCATGCGTTCCGTCACGTAGCGCATGCCGAAATTGGCCAGCCATTTGATCCAATTCGGCTAGATCGAAGGCGAAGCCACTGGCCAGTTTGCCCGACTGTGTCCACCACTCAATCATGTACTGCACCTTCTCGGGTATCGGCATATGCGGATCAATCTCGATGGGATGGTATTTGTGAAAGAGCTTGTCTATCTCCTCTTTGAAGTTGTCCGGCAGGGACTTGCACGAGTTGAAGATACCGAAGCTCGAGGGCACAGCAACGCCGTCATCCGTGCGCTGCTTCGTGATCGTGTAATCAAAGTCGGATACTATCTGCATTCGTTCCGGTCCCCCGCAGACAAACTCGTTGATAATCCGCTCTACCCGCTGCGGATCGCGCATTCTACAATGCTCCTGATTCAGCTGTGGAATATCCTGAATGTGCACATAGCCCACACGATCCTGCGATTCGTTTGATTCTGTGACCCCCATTTTATTTGTCGATATAATAGCCGTCTGGTGTCTATTGGTCTTCTTCCGATCTGTTCGACGTGTGCTAGGCCCGAATAACGCTCAATGACTGAAATTAAAATATAAGAATGGTATTACTCGATGTGCTATCGCTTGCAAAAGTTCGCGTGTCGGAGAAAATTGTTTACTGGTCTCATACATATGTATTAATGTCTATACATATGTAAGTATATTTACAAGGGTGCATGTGTGTGTGAGTTTTTACTTAGAGGTGAGCGAATATGTATGTATCTTCATGCCGAAATACAATATCACAAATAGGATCTTATTGGATTGAAGTCAGTTACGCTGTTTCAATGAACTCTGTAATAAACGAGCCAACAGACTGAGCAAACTCAATTCAATTAAACATTTAATTTGTTCTTAAAATCCGTATGCATTTAAACAGTCGGAATTACTTTGTGTTTAACAATGTCCCTTTGTATTTCACCAATCCGCTTCCAAGAAACATCATTCAAAGAATACAAATACATATAATTAGCACGACATTCTGTTCTGTACATACAATAATTATTTATTAGCATGGAACTACTGAAAGTTCATCACTATCTCACGTATGTACATATGCATGCATGTATGTATGTATGTGTTTTTGACTGCTCGTATGCAAAGAGATTCGAGCATTCTTAGCTGGCCTTGATTTGTAGTTGTTGCGAATTCGTATTTCTCTGATTATTGGCGGTTTATCAGGCTTTATCAAGCTTTTTTGATTTTACACATATATTTGCTGACACTAAATGCCGTACAAGCATACGCGTATTTACTTTTCGATTTGCATTCGCTGATTGCGCACCCAAAAGGCAGAACGCCGTGAACAGCTGTTCCTGACAGAACGAAATGGAACTGAAACAAAACGTGCGAGGCCGAGTAAAATGCAAAAGTGGGTTTCATAATTTGTTTATTTTTGTGCTATCTCTCCTCTCTAGCTCGATGGTTTTTTGTTTGTTAACTAAATAAAAAAAAAAAGTTTCCTTCAATTCAGAATTAAGGATACATTAACAAGTTAATTATATATTTATTAAATATCAGTTATTCCTATTTTAGCTGCTGCGCGGGTATTTTCTTCAATATTCTTTTTCTGCTTTTTTCTTTTTCTTGCATGTTTTCAATCTTCGATGACAATGGGGGCTGCAAGTGGATCTTTTTGATTTAGACTTTTATTTTCAAATGGCAAAAACTTCCAATCGCCTGGCAAAGAACCCTTCAGGCTCAATTCACGGGATAGATATCTGCAATTGAAGGATTAAACAAAATATTAGCTATAATCGTCGGTAAGAGTCTGTGCATCATAATAGTTACCGGTTGAGATAGTCGCTGGCGGCGTGGCCGGTTTTGAACGAGTAGAGGCCCTCATCTGGCAGTTTGACCATGAGCTTGCTGTCCACTAGTTTCGCTTTGAAACTAGGCAAGTTCTTGGCCACCAGAAATCCATTCTTCTCCTTGGCATTCAGCAAGTGCTTCTTTGGCTCCACGGCACAGGGTGGCTTGGGTGCCAAAGACTTAAGCCCTGTGAACTGAGCTGCCTTGGCCGCCGATTTCAGCTGTGGAGCACGCGTCAGATGCGGCAAATTGCCGCTGGCATATGTCGGCTTGGGCAGCGTAGGCATTCCAGAGGAAGCTGCCGCACCCGCTGGCAGTTCTTGCAACTTGCGCTTGGCACCAATTTTTATGGGCTCGGCGGCAGGCCGTGAAGCAGCGTTATCCTTGGTCCTCATCTTGGTGATTGTTAGGCCAGCTGTGGTGTTGCCCATTTTAATGTTGCCATTGGTGTTGTTGCTCAACAGCTGCTGCAGCGTGTTGTTGACCTTGGGTGCCATCGGATCCTTAACGGAAGTTGCTGCACTGGCTGCCGGGGCACACCTCTGCACTGAGATGCGACTAATTTTGGCTGGCTGCGGCTGTGCATTAAGTTCGCTGCTGGCAACGGCTGGTGGCGACGGCGCCGATGTCTGGGTGAGCTGCACCTGTGGTGTTAGGAATTGTGTGACTGGCACCGTGCCGCACACGGCGGGCACGTTCGAAATGAAAGGCATAAACGCGCCGGTTAGAACATTGCTATTGATCTCCTTGACCATTGGCCCTGTATGGGGAACAGCTGCTGTTATGTGCAGGCTGCTGCTTCCACTGCTGCTGGCGCCATGGGGTAACGCCTGAATGGTGAAGTTTATGAGCGGTGCGGTTATTGGCGCCTCCTGTTTGGCGTGCCGCTTCAGCTGAGCCGTCGCGTTTGGCTGCGCCACCTCGTTCACTGCTTTATCTTCGTCATCGTCGTTGATGACGATCACACAATCATCATCCTCATCAGTGTCTGCTGCCTCTGCGCCTACTGCTGCCTGCTCCAACGTGTTCGACGTTGGCGACGACTCAGCCCCTCCTGGCAAATCAATATTGAAATGGACTTGGCCATTGATCTGAAGCAGCCAGAAGGCCATGGTACGCCTTTCACGCTGTACCGGGATGTCATGATTCCGCTGGTAGACCTCGCGTAACATCATCTTGCCGTCCACACTTTGCAGCAGCACCAGCACAGGAGGCGGCGTGTCCAGTGGCAGCGGTCCAAAGTAGATGACCCGCTTCGAGGATGGCGTTACGAAGGCATCATAGGGGGCGTCCTGGAAGAACTGCAGTTTCACCATCTTATTGGTGTCACGTGCGACGCGGGCCACATTGTGTATGCGATCCAATGAGATCATGTCCTTGAAGGCCGGCACGAAGATGTGCGAGAAGTCATCATACAAATTAAGCACTAGCCAGCGATGATCGTGCGTGTGTGGCTCCGGAATCTGCAGGTCTGGAATATCCGCTTGCATAACTTTACGGAACTCGATGTTGCTGCAAATAAGTGAGGGTTCCTTGCTGTTGGCAGATGCCTTGCCCTCAGATGTGGATGTGGATGTGGGGACGGGGATCGGCGCAATGTCAACTGCAGGTGAACCTAATACTGAGGGTGATGTGGAAGGAGCAGCAGCTGGCGCGCTTTGTGCAGGTGCATCTGGAGGCGGAGCACGAGCTGGAACTGCAGTTACAGACTTGGAGTTAGCTGCTGCTGCTTTGGTGCCAACAACATTGGCCGTCGCCCCAGAAGCAGTCGCTGCTGGCCGCTGATGACGTTGCTGCTCCCTAATGCGCTGCTTCACCATCAGAGTGCAGAGGACATTTATCTTCTTTGTCAGTACGGGATGCGTCTGCGGCGTTGGCTTGGTGCACGCGTTACCCTCCATGTAACGCAGGAAGCCCTTGACCAGCCAGTACTGCTGCCTGCCCTGCATCACCACAGCCAGGCGACTCGTGTTCTCGTTTCGCTTGCCCTCCAGCAGCATGCGGGCCATCAGGGGTAAGCTGTTGCGGTCTGGAGCGAAGTGCGTGTTGACCACGGCAATGGCACCACAAATGGCTGGCATCATGTTCGTTATCGTAGCCGCAAGGAAGCTGTGGTTCTTCATTTGCACATCCCAGATGAACACATAGTTGGACTGGAAGGCGGCCAGGAAGTTAGCCCACTTGATGATGCACAATATCTCCTCGTTCGGTGCTGGGATTATTTTGCTCTCACGCTGCAGCGCCAGATCGATGTCCTGCATTTTCTTGCTCACATGGGTGTTCATCTTCTTGATGACTTCGTTGTAAGAAGCACGGAACGAGACAGAATCCACACTCGGACTGTCTTCATTGATGGGCAAAGCTATGGGCACCTCATTGCTGCCCACGGCTACATCTAGGGCGTTGGCGTTCAGAGAATAGCAAGCTGATATCTTGGGCATTTGAATTTCCAGTTTGGTTGCGGGCTGTACTTTATGCGGTTCGGTCTGCTTGGCTGTTTTATCTGCTGGCTCTGTTTCCTCTGCTTGCAGCTTCCTTCGCTTGACATCCGGCTCTTGCAAGTTCACTTCCTCTTTTGCGCTGCGTTTGCTTGCCATAGACTCCGTTTCACTCTCATCCGAATCATCAGCGACTTCAATTATTGTTAGCTCTGCAAGCTGCGCCGATTTCGCCAAGCGGCGCTGTTGTTCAAGCTCAGAGCGATAGTAGCTAACGGCGCTGGCCACACGCTGGTCGAGCAGTGCCTGTGTTTTCGGAGTCTCAGCTCGTGTTGCCTCCACGCGAATGCGATCAGCACGGCGCCTGTTCAAACGCAAATAGCAATTCCTGGGCACGGACACCACCCGGCGACAGAAATTGGGCCGCGAGCGATAGTAGCTGAAGATTATATCAAGCTCGGCGGGACGTTGCGGCACCACTACCACGGCCGGCACAGGTGGTACTTCCACTTTCAAAACAGGCGCTGGCTTGGGTAGCAGTTTAACTGGCTGCAGCCTAATGGTAGCAACGTCTTTGCTCAGTTGCTTCTGTGGCGTTATTTTCCTTGTAGTTTGCTGTTGCTTTGGCGCCGATGCTTCTTTAGGTGGTGGCGTCTGCTGATGCTTCTGTGGCATCGTCTGTTTCTGCTCATGTTTCTCTTTCTGTGGCAGTGGCTGCTGATGTTTCTGTTTCTGTGACTGCTGCTGGTGCTTCTGCTCCTTCTGTAGCTGTGGCTGCTTTAGTTCCGGCGACGTCTGCTTTTGCGACTGTGGCAACTTCAGCACCAGCGGCGGAAGCTTCTGTGGCTGGGACTTTGCCTTCTCCTTGCGCCGCTTCTTGTTTGACTCATCCGGTGGTCGTTCGAAGCTGTAGTGAGCGCGGGTCGCCAGTTCAGGAACATAATGAGGTATGGGCAGGTCGTCTTTTTCCTTCTCTATTATAACAGGCTTGCCTTCCACCGCTAGTCCGCCGCAGAAACATTTGTATAGCTGATGGGTCATGCAGAAGGTAGCCAAGTTGGCGACATCGGGCAGGCGGCGCAGCGCAACCTGGCAATGCTTCAATTGGTCAAAATCCGTATCCTTTATTGAGCACGGCTCATTAAGCGACATGTGGACGCTCTCGGTGCTGCTGCGTGTGCGTTTCAGATTAATATCGCGCTTTGCAAACTTGCTGGGACGCAGTGGCTCCTCATCATCCTCGATGGAGTCGTCGAAGTCCTCGTAGCGCTTGGGCGCCTTAGTGCACCGACGCTTCTTGTCACACTGTGTTTCGTTGATGAGCAGCGTCTCGTTGTCAGTTAGAACCAGCGTCGAGGTGAAGTCCTTTTCCATTTTGGCCAATCGCGCCGTTGCCTTGCGACGCAAGTTGAAAGCATCCTCGTTCGAGAGTCCGCGCCCCTGCAGATGAGAGACAGTTAAGTACAACAAGCGGATATCCAAATACTCCTAATACTCACGTCAGTCTCCACGCGCATAATGCGCGTAAGCTCGGCTCCCGTGCAGCTGCATTCCAACACGCAGTCCGCACGTCCGCAATGTTCCCGAGGGGCCAGATCCCCACCCACGCTCTCACAGACACATCCCAGTTGACAGAAATCCTTGCTGCACGGTTTATTCGCTACAAAGATCGAATTTTCATTAAATGTATTCAAATCAATTTCAATTTAACGGCCCTATTTCTCTTAATTGGCGATAACATCCCCTTACTGCTATCGATAAAGTCAATCGATTTTAGTTTATGTTTTCCTAAACTGTTCATAAAGTTAATGAATAATAATAATCTTTCTCGAATCCGAATTTTAATTTATATATAATTAAAAAGCATTTGATATTTGTCACTTGAAAAACAGGAAATTGTCCCTTGCAACAATATCGATAAGTTCATCTTGACTATCGATACTACTTGCAAGGATATCAGAAATGCGATATATGAAGCTAATCAAATATTAATCATTCGTCAATCAATTACTGATGTGTCAATTAAATATATGTACATTTGTATGTAACTACATACAATACATACATACACACATACATACGAACATATATAGATATTATGTGCGAATGATATTAAGTAAATTTCAATTAAATACTGTTATAGATCTACAGCAATTTTAGCAAGCGGTCAGAGCATAGACTTACCATCTTTGGCAATTGCGGCTGCATCGATTATGGTGGCGTTGAGGCGGCGCAGCTCCTTGGCTAAACGCTGTTGCTTGTTGGGGCGTGGCTTGCTGTTGGCTTGGGTGCATTTAAGCCCCGATTTTGTCTGGGCATCGACTTCAGCCGCATTCGAATTGCCGGCAGCAGCAGACTCCTCTTTAATGGGGCTTACATCCATAGCGTCACCACGTACCGCATCGGAATCAACGCTAATGAACGAGTTCTCGCTGCAGCTAATAGCTACGGTGTTGATCATATCATTTACCATGTCCGCACAATCCAACGCAATGGCATCTGCATTTTCGGGCAGCAGTTTGCGAAACTCTAAGTCGCGCAGTCTCTCTGGCGGTTGAGAAGCACTAAAGCTCTCGTCCAACTTCTCGGAGCGATCGACAACGCGACGCACCAGAATGTGATTGCGATCGTTCATATAGGGTATCACAAATGTAAAGCTTTTGCGCCTGCCGACTTTTGTGGACTGGACGGCGGCCTGTGCCTCCGCCTCCCGCATGCTGTTGGGTGATTCCTGCAGTGTGGAGACGCTGAACTCAGCCCACTCGCGCGTAATGTCATGGTGCGGCAGGATGTACTGCAAATACCGCTTGGCGATCTCATTCAATGGCCGGCCCAGCTGCGGCTTCACGTCCAGCTGCACGGTGGGCATGCTGACCACGGCCATGCTCCCGCCGGCCAGCAAGAGGGCGGCCGTGTCGTCGTCTAGCGGCTTCTGATATGGCTTCTGTGAAAGCGGGCAGGGCCTGAATACGGCTGGCAATGGATACTGATTGAGCTTCTGCAGTTTGCCTTTCAGCTGGGTTTGGCGCGTGGGGATCACTTTCAGCTCACTGCGTAAAGCCGCGTCCACGCACCGGCTGCTACACTGAAGCGTGGCCAACTCCTGCGCAGTGAGCGCGTTGCGATGCGGCTGCTTTTCGCGGTGCGCGTTGTTTCCCTGGCTGCCAGGCAGACGCACCATCTCGCCATCGATGCGTATGACCTGGTAGTAATACTTATCCGTCTCCGTGGACACGTAGCTGGCCGCCTGCCAGCCCTGCCGGGTGAAGGGCATTTGAGTGATGGGCGACTGAAGTTGCTGCATTGCGGCGATTTTCACCTTTCGCTGCCGCTGCTTGCGCTGCAACTCGCGGTAGATGTTCGCCTCGTTATTGATGATGGCCATTTTTTGGTTCTTGGAGCGCTGCAGATAGTGCCGCCGTTCGGCAACAGTGCGCAGCTTCTGTAAGCTGTCCGGCACCGCCGGCATATCCATATGCGGCGGCACACTATGCGCCGTGACACGCCCATCCTGGTACATGGGCTCGAGCAGCTCACGATCTGCCGAGCGAGTATCGCGCAGGTTATTCTTCTTCATATAAGCTTCCAGCGCATCGCTGACGAAGGCCCCGTTGCCATCCACTGTTTTGAAGCTCTGTGGAACCAGAGGCGTGAGCAGCATGCCCGGTTGATGGGCGCTGTCATCGAATTCGACGAAGTCTTCGCTAGCTTCGTCATTAAAGCTTAAGTCGGCTGTTCCCTCACCGGCGGGTTTGTCGCTTGTACCATTCAGTCCATTATCGGAGCTGGAGAAATTTAGCTCTTTGGCAAAGGTTTTGACACGCACTTTATTCATTAGCATATCCAAAAATTTGCTGTCCACCGCCTTTTCTAGCGGCTTGTCGCTTTTGCTCGTGGGCGATACAGCAGATGCCTCCAGTAACTCCATTTCAATAGTAGGTCGGCGAACCAGCTTCTCTTTAGATTGATCCGATTGGTTTAATGTTCCTTCGATTATTGCTAATAATTTTACTGAGTCATCTTCTATATGTTGCTCTTCCAGCTTCTCCTCTTCTGCCTGCTGAGTTGTCTCCGCCCTCTCTTCTTCTACGTTCTCTTCTGGCTGCTCTTGACGAAGCTCAATGTTTTTATTAGCATCTTCGATCAGTGATAGACCACGTTTGCCGCTCTTTAGCAGCTCCAATTGCTGCTTCATCTGCTTGGACAGCTCCTCGCCGTACAGCTCCGTCTCCTCGTATTCCTTCACATGACCCATTTTCTTGTAATATCGTACCATGTTTGACGACCATTGCTTAGAATTAGCTTTACGTCGTTTGATCATACGCTTCAGTCGCGGGTCGAAGAGAAGCAGTCGGGCCCGGCGCATGATCACGACCCTGTGATTGCCTTTGCGCCATGCGTAAGTGCGGAGCACGCAGCGCGGATGTAGAGCGTAGATAATGAATCGCTTTGCATTAGCCCAGTTGCTGTGCAAAAACTCCTGCGAAACTGGATATTTGCGTTTCAGATATAGAAATTTTCTCAAATCCTTGCCTTTGAGGACAATACGCGGCAGTTCCTGTATCATCCTAAAAATAAATCAAGAATTATAAGCCTTCATTCGACATTGTACATTGTCATATAGGTAAGATTCTCATTACCGCCTCGCAGATTACAATACGAGAACGCAATCCATTCAATGAATTGTTATTAATAAAATCTTTTCTAAGGGTAGCTACTAGTAACTCCTTTCCTCCTCTCAAAAACGAAATAATTTCAACTACTGTATAAAATGTGGGCTGTATATGTCAAGATATATCGGCGTTTATATTTGTAATAGCCCGACGACGTCACTTTCAAAGTTGGGCAGCACTTTTTCGGTAATCGAAACAGGCAGCACTGGTGCGCTTACAGATACACAAGAATCGCCTAACGCACGAACATTTAATTAACATCAATCAGCTATACACAATACTATTAACAATTTAATTTCATTTATTATACCCAGACATCAAATACAAATTATTCTGAAACTTTAATCTGTTCAACAGCACATATGCCATTACATGTCAAGCTACTGAGCCTCACATGACCTGACATGTCAGTTGCGCATTCACAAAGCCATGAAAAATAAAAGCCGAATGCCGTACAGAATGGTCACAGTAATATTGGTCTAGTTATCCCAACGCCCTTGAATAAGCCTCGAACACAACATATTTGGCTCGCACAAACACACACACACACCCACAACACAACAAAGCAAAAGCAGAGGCAGAGACAGCTAAATCATTTTCTCACTTTGCGGTTGTACTAATTCCAGGTTTCAACTAATAGCCAACATACACGAATTTTCGTTGACATTACGCATGTGCACAATGAAATGACATTTGAAATTAATTAAACTTTGCTTTCAATTCAAGAAGAACGCATGTATTAATTTTACGATCACAAACAGCTCTGCCTCTGCACGGGCCCTGCGACGACTGGCTTGTGTGTATGTGTTGAGTCAGTGTTCCTGTGTGTGAGCGTAGGCCAGTGTCAGTGTATGGACCCGTTTTCAGGCGTTCCTACGAAATGCAATGGAATGGCACAAAAGTAGTATTCTTATGTCATACACATGCGTATGTACCTACATATGTATGTATTTACGTACATATCGGAAGTGTATTTCTGCAATGTACATACAGTATGTAAAGATGTGTGCGTATGCACGTGGTCACCGATAACCGTTTTGTTTTGATGAAAGAGAAAAAAGCTAAGACATAAAATTTAGAACCAATTGATATTAATTATTATTGTTACTATTACCTTACGAATTATTACGTAACGCATTTGTTTCAGAATTGCCTTTAATTTATTAACTGTACACAAGAGACTAAAGTTTAAAAATTGCGATCTTTTCAGCTTTTTAATATAATGTTCAACTTTAAATGTCTCCTGTTAATATAATTTTGTAAGGGACGTCTTCAATTTCATTATTGCTATTTTTATGAAAGGAACTCAATATTGCTTAGCTTGCAAACAAAAAACTAGACAGTTTGTAATGCGTATTAAATAAATCGATAACCTCAAAATCAAATCCAAGATGGCGTCGCGGCCGCATAAATATAGGCAAACGCTTTTGATGATCGCGTTTGTAAGATCTTGATCACACATACAAGTGAACGGTAAAAGTTCCAAGAAAAAAATTTCGATAAGCCGAAAGAGTCCTGCCAAGTAAAACTGATACTGAGGTAGAAATAAGACACTCACCTGCACACACCTGTGCACACACCGAGCACTGATATACTTCCTTCTGTTCGAATTCAAGGTGGGGATTCTGATATCTTAACTTTTTCACCAAAACGCGCAATTACTTGCGCCTCTCGCTGCGGACCTACTTAAAAGCGCATCACATACGAACTAATACATATACATATGTATACATACACAATTCACGTAAGTACATATGCATATCGACGGCATGACGAATTTCAATATGGAGGCCGATAACAGCAAAACAGGCAGCTACGTGGAATGAAACACAGGGTTGCTGAGCGCCAAAATAAGAGCCAATAATAAAAGTGATATTAGAAGCTGCAGAAATTAGTGGGCGACTGTTGAGAGCCACAAAGCTAATTACTGACCGATTCTAAATGTTTCAGCTTAATAAATCGACAATATCTGAATTCATTCCATTTAATTCTAGCGCCAGAGGATAAAACGCATGTTGACAACTTACTTATGTAATTACAGAAAACTACCTAACTAGTCATAACGAACTTGCCCAAGGTGATGCCACGTCAGCTAACCTCAACACATCGTTTTACAGGTGACTGCTGGGAGCCCTGCATATTCCGTTTTATTTAAATATTTTAAGGTTAGACGTAGTCGCTCATGTGTACGCTACTAAACGACTTTATTTATAATTGTAAAGTTATCTTTTATTATTATAATATTAATATATATGCAAGAAAATTAAGGAGCACAAAGCGTCACACAATGAAGCCGTACTGTACCTGCAAATAAACAGAATAAATAAGTTTATTGATTTTAATTATTCAAAATCATATTTTTGAAAATTTCTGTTCAGTAGGACCTATTTTTGAGGATTGTGCTGTTGCGGTATTTGTGAATCATATCACAAGTTCAGATTTCCTTTTTCATCATTTTAAAGGTGTATGCTTTATGAAGCCACGATTGTAAATAGACTCACCTCGTAATTACCGTAAACGCGAGGGATCCATCAAAGCTCTGCAATGTGAAGGAAATATATTATAGTAAACTTATTTCAATAAATTTTAAATACACTTAATTAGAGTTTTAGTTCAGTAGGACCTATTTTTGAGGATTGGGTTGTTGCGGTATAAGTGAATCATAACACATTCAGATTTCCTTTGTCATCAGTATACACACTATATGTTACTTTAAATAAAAAAGAAATTTTACCTTTACAAATATAATCGTCTCGAAAATTAAATCCGTAGTAAGCCTGCAATGTAAATTCACAGTTTATAAGCTTAATTTTATAAATGGGTTTTAATATAGTATTTTAAAATGATTTTCAGTAAGACCAATCACGCATTCAACACTGGAAGTTTCTCTTTATTTTCAGATAGGGGCGAAAGCTTAGAGCTCATCATGTAGAAATCAAACTTAAATTTTATCAAATGTTTTCAGTTATACATTTATATTAATTGCTTACCTTATTACATAATTGATTCCACGAAAAATAATTTTTAAGATATGGCTGCAAAATATAATAAAAGGCTCGTTAAGCACATAAATATTTTAAATCTTAAGATTCAGTTTAGTTTAATTTCAGTAAGACCAATCACGCATTCAACATTGGAAGTTTCTCTTAATTTTCAGATAGGGGCGAAAGCTTAAAGCTCATCATAGAAGGATTAATTTAAAATATGCCAAGTTTTAGTGATACTAACCTTTAAAAAACAACTAAAACACGTCACCAACATTTTCCGCAAGTACAACATCCGTTGAACATCTATAATAAATTGAAGTGAAATGTTTATTTAAATTGGGTTCACAATTGAACTATAATGCTTGAAAAAGTGAATTTCAGTAAGACCAATCACGCATTCAACATTGGAAGTTTCTCTTAATTTTCAGATAGGGGCGAAAGCTTAAAGCTCATCATAGAAGGACCAATTTAAAATATGCGAACTTTGATATATACTAACCTTTAATAAGCATCTAAACCACGTCACCAGCATTTTTCGGATGTATTACATACGTAGAACATCTGTAATAAATTGAAATGAAATGTTCATTTAAATTGGTTTCACAATTGAACTACAATGCTCGAAAACGTGAATTTCAGTAAGACCAATCACGCATTCAACATTGGAAGTTTCTCTTAATTTTCAGATAGGGGCGAAAGCTT